GGGATGGGGAGGGGGCTCGGGGCACGGCAGGGCCGCCGGCGGCACCGCGGGGCTGCGGGCTCCGCTCGAGGCCGCTGCGCCGCTCCCGGGGTCTGCCGGGGGTCGAGGTTGCGGTGGGAGGCTGGGGTGGGCACGGTGGTCTCGGCTGTGGTGCTCGTGGGAGGTTGAGGTGTGCACACCTGGCCCAGGTGTGCGCCACGGCCAAGGGCTTCTTCGTGGCCTTGGAGCACTTGCTACGGCCGGGGTTTTTGAGGTGGTCCCAAGTTCCTCACGAGGAGTTTGGGGTGTTCACCGTGGCCACGGTGTTTACCATGGCTGAGATCTTTGCCGTGCTCGCTGGGAGCTCCAGGTGTGCACCGTGGCCGAGGTCTTGGCTGTGTCCACGAGGTCCTTGCTGGAGCTTGGGATGTTCACCATAGTCAAGGTCTTTTCTGTGTCTCCAAGCTCCTCACTGGGCTCTTCAGGTGTTCATCATGGCCAAGGTCTTCACCTTGCAGTATTTGCCATGGCCTTGTCATTGTCCTGGTGCCAGGGTGCTCCCTGCAAGCTTGAGCTGCTCACCGTGGCCAAGGCCTTCCGTGATGCCTCTGCCATGGCCTTGGGGCGCTCACTGTGGCCATGGGTTTCACCATGACTCCAAGGTCCTCAGCGGGAGCTTGAGGTGCTCACTGGCCTCTTGATGCTCCCACCCTTGCCAAGGCCTGCTTCTTGGCCAAGGTCTTCACCATGGCCTTGAGGTGCTCACTGCGGCCGAGGCCCCTGGACCTGTCCTTCAGGGCTTGGTCAGTGCTGTGGCCCCGAGGCCCTGGCTGGGCTCCTGAAGTGCTCATCACGCCCAACACTTTCCCCGTCACGGCCAGCATTGCCGTGAGCCCCTTGCCGTGGCCTTGAGGTGTCCCCATCACCCTCAGCCCGGCCCTGAGGTGCTCTGAGGCACCCTGTGAGGCAGCTCCATGGCAGGTGCCGTGCCCGAGGCGCTTGCCACAACCCCTCCCTGTGGTGCTGCCACGTCCCCGCCTGCCTGGGGGCTCCCGGGTGCCTCTGGCTGGAGAGAGCCGGGGGGCCCTCGCCGTCCCCCTGCGCTGCCGCCAGCCACCGCTGCCCTTTCCTTTTCTCCCCTCCCAGGTGCCCTCGAGCCGGGCGAGGCGATGCGGTGCGCCCGTGCCGCGTGCTGTGCCGAAGCGGCTCTTTAGATCCTCCCCGGCCCAAGCCTCCCCTGCCATGGATGCCTCCGGGGCTCTTGCTTCGGCTCCCTCCTCCGCGGCTCCCTCGGGCTCCCGCAGCCCCATGTTCCCCCCAGGAGCTGACAGAGAGGAGTGGGGACCGAGGTTCAATTGTGCCCCTTCCACCTCTGCCGCAGCCTCGCAGGCGATGCCAGCGTCTGGCCGGAAGAGGAAGGCCAACTTCTCCAATGACGAGACCGAGACGCTGGTCTGGAATGTGGTCCGGCATTTCAGCGCCCTGTACGGGTCCGAGGCCCTGCGGGCTCACCCCGTGCGGCGGAAGCAGCTCTGGACCCAAATCCAAAGCCGCGTCAACTTCCTGGGCTACACCGAGCGCTCCATCGACGACCTCAAGCACAAGTGGCGCGACCTGCGGCTGGACGTCAAGAAGAAAATCACCTCCAAGAAGCACCTGCCCATGAACCGCGCCGGCGGGCCGCTCCACAAGCCGCGCCTCACGCCCCTGGAGAAGATGGTGGCTTCCACCTTCCTGCAGGCCAGCCACGACTCCGAGCCAGAGATCATCCTGGACCCGGGTGAGTGGTGGCGGTTCTGCGGGGTGGTTGGAGCGCTGGATGCGCTCCCTGAGGGATGTCCAGCCGCGCTGGCGTTCTCACCTGGCTGTTGTGCGCTGTGGAAAGAGACTCTGGGGTTTGTCTTGGGCTTGCAGCATCCCCCAGAGTCACGGTCCTGTTGTACCCAAGTGCCAGCCACCAGGGTAGAGAAGTGCGTGTGCTGGGATTAGAAATTATCCGTGGAAATAACCTGGGATCAGTGAGTCGTAGAAATCCCAGAGTGGTTTGAGTTGGAAGGGACCTTAAAGCTCATCCTGTGCCACCCTGTGCCATGGGCAGGGACACCTTCCACTATCCCAGGCTGCTCCAAGCCCCGTCCAGCCTGGCACTGGACACTTCCAGGGATCCAGGGGCAGCCACAGCTTCTCTGGGCAACCTGTGCCAGATCAACAGGATTGGTAGGAACACCTCAAGCTTTGCAAGAGTGGATCTTTTTTGTTCTTCTTTCTTCTTTTCTTTAATTTGATGCTTTCAGTGGCCTCTCTGGTTCAACTGGGGCGTCATAGACTCTGTCCATGTGGCCCGGACTTGGCTGTCATGTGCCAAGCACAGGGCTTTAGGCTGAAGCAAGAAATCCTGTGTAATGGCATGAAGCTGTGCCAGGGCAGGGTCAGGCTGGAAATCAGGGAAAGGTTCTTCCCCCAGAGGGTGCTGGGCACTGCCCAGGCTCCCTCTGGGCACAGCTCCAACCCTGCCAGAGCTCCAGGAGCATTTGGACAGCGCTCTCAGGGATACACAGGGTGGGATTTTGGGGTGTCTGTGCAGGCTCAGGAGCTGGATCAGTGATCCCTGTGGGTCCCTCCCAGCTCAGGTTATTCCCCAACCCCATGATTCTCTGGCACTAGGGGCTGTCAGCCCCAGGGGGGCTCCGGATGGTGCTGGGAAGGGTGAGGCTGAGCCTTGAGGGAGCCTCTGTACCTGGGGCCACCGTGTCCCCACCAGCTGAGGCCACGTCCTCTGTGTCCCGCAGATCTGTTCTTCCCCGGCGCGTCCAAGCAGCCCTTCATGCACCTGCAGCCCAGCGTGAGCCACCCCAGCATCTACATCGACACCAACGGGCAGCCCTCGGCCCTGCCCGACGTGGAGGGCTCGGCCGCGCCGCGCCTGCCGGGACAGAGCCCCGACCCCGCCGGCGGCTGCGAGTACCGAGGAGAGGGGCAGGGCGGCGCCGGTACGCGGAGCCAGCGCGGGCTGGGGGTGCTGCGGGCACGGCGGGGTGGAGGTGGGCTGGGTCTGAATGGAGATCCACTGGGAGTGGGGTTTGGATGGAGATCCACTGGGTCAGGATGGATATCTGCTGGGAAGTGTGAGGTCTGGATGGAGAGCCTTTGGCAGCAGGGTTTGGCTGAAGATGGAGTGGCACTGGCGTTCTGGATGGGGGTCTGCTGGGAGTGGAGTCAGGGTGGAGATCCTGTGACTCAGAATGGAGATCCACTGGGTCATGATGGAGATCCACTGGGTCAGGATGGACATCCTGTGACTCAGGATGGAGATCCACTGGGTCAGGATGGAGATCCTCTGGCACTGGGGTTCTGGATGGGGGTCTGCTGGGAGTGGAGTCAGGATGGAGATCCTCTGGGTCAGGATGGAGATCCACTGGGTCAGGGTGGATATCTGCTGGGAAGTGTGGGATCTGGATGGAGATCCTCTGGCACTGGGGTTCTGGACGTGGATCTGCTGGGAGTGGACTCAGGATGGACATCCTCTGACTCAGGATGGAGATCCACTGGGTCACAATGGAGATCTTTTGAGTCAGGATGAAATCCACTGGGTCAGGATGGACATCCTTTGACTCAGGATGGAGATCCACTGGGTCAAGATGGAGATCCTCTGACTCAGGATGGAGATCCTCTGGGATCCACGTGTTGGGGAGGGCCTGGGGCCAGGGCAGTGCTGTGGCTCACCGGAGGTTTCTCTTCTCTCCCAGCCGAGTCGGGACCGGAGCTGCGCACTCCAGACGCGTCGGCCATCTCCCCATCCCTGCGAAACGAGTCCCTGGTCTCCTACGCCTCCATGTCGGAGGAGGAGGAACGGGAAGGCCGGGAGGTGGAGAGGGGCCACGGCGGCGCCGCGGGGATGCAGCCGGGGCCCGAGGCCCCCATGTCAGCGGAGGAGGACATGAAACTGTCCCGCCAGGCCATGCTGATCCGCCGCTGCAGCTCCCAGGGCTCCGTCACTTCCCTGCCCGAGGACTCGCTCAACCCCGCGGACGCTCACTCGGACTGGGGGCACGAGGGCGTGTCCGACCTGCCCGCCCTGGGCCGCGGGCTCGACTCGGCGCATCCCGAGGAGCAGGCGGGCGGCCCGGGCCCGGAGATGGGCGCCTTGCCCAGGGTACTGATGGGGCCCACCTGGGAGAAGGCTCCGGCGGAGGAGGAGCCCCCGGCGCGCTCCCCGCTGCACGGCGCCCTGACCGAGGAGTCGCTGCCCTCCTCCGCCTCCCCGCCCGGAGACGCCCCGGCCGCCGCCGGCCCCGGCCGCGGGCTGGGCTGCTCCCGCCTGCGCGAGGAGCGCCGCGAGAGCTGGAGGACTAGCATCCATCACCTGCTCGACCTGGAGGAGCAGTGGGACCAGCTGTACCACCAGGAGCTGGCCATGTGGCAGGAGGAACGGGCCACGCAGCGCGAGGAGCGGGCGCGCGACCGGGAGCTGCAGTTCCGCCTGCTCGGCGTCCTCACGGACATCCGCGACGAGCTGCGCTACCTGCGCCAGGAGCGCGCCGGCGCCCGCCAGAGCCCGGCCCCGCCGCCCCCCGAGCCCCGCCGCGACCCCAGCCCGCTCCTCGAGCAGCCCAAAGCCGAGCCCAGCTTCACC